GAAGAGGTTATAGTAGTTCAACGAGAGAAAATGTGTGTACATTAAAAGGAAGAGAGAAACCGCAAACGTTTTTGGTTGTAATGTGGATTTTTTTTTTTTTAAATATGTTTTATTTTCCTACACGGGTTTCTGGTCCTGCGTCCGTCATCAGGCAAAAGTTGGTGATTTCCACATATTAAAAAATTTTTTTTTCCTTTATGTTTTTCGATGTTAAATATATAAGAATATTTCGAGAATATTTGACATCGAAAAACAAAGGAAAAAAATTAATTATTTTAATAATATGTGGAAATTTCCAGCCTTTGCGTGATGACGGTCGCGAGACCAAAAACCCGTGTAGCAAAATTATGGAAAGTAAAGCATAATATTTTTTTAAAATCCACATTACAACCAAAAACGTTTGCGGTTTCATATATATATGAAATATTTAGGATGCTTCTATATTTGGTAACATTTTATTGACGTTGTTTTTTATATCATTCCTAATGCTAAATTATTCTTATACTTGTAGTCGTTTTTTTGCATTTGGTGTAATGTACTATTTTTACGTTATTGGTAGGAGTTTGCTTGATTTATTGCTGTACTGGTTGAACATATGAAATAGTATACAGAACAAACAAACAAAAAAATTGATAATGGCCTCTGAAAGCACGCACACATTAGAAAATTTATATTAAAACTTTCATCGGACGACAGAAAATTTCTTTTAAATTATCTAAAAATAAATAAATAATAAAAAATTCAAAAAAGAATCTTGAGATTTTTCGTTGTTCTTTACCGAAACGCATATATATATATATATATATATATATATATATATATATATATATATATATATATATATATATGCTCAAGAATATTACGTAAACATTTTGATATCAAATAAAAGCGGTTTGATTTAGTTTGTATGTACGCCCAGTTGAATGAAAAAGTACATGGCCGAGATTAAAATGGGAACCGCACAGGTAAATAGTACGTGGTCAGGGCAAAATAATAGTTCGATTCCCTCGACATTTCCCTTTTTTAGAAAGTCTCAGGCGCCAAGGATTAATACTAGCCTTAAACCCTTGAGAGGGGGTACTGCCTAAGGGGACGCCGCCATCCCTCCTCGCCTGTAGCTCAGCTTAATAACAGTGATCGCATTAGAGATTATGGGATTTAGACGCACGCTTACTCAAGTAGAACATGGCACAAGGCCGATATTAAAGTAAGAGTCCCCGCGTACATGGGACTAAGAACAAAAATTGATCAGTCATAGCGTTTCCTTCGATTTGGCGACACAGCAAGCGCCAGAGGTTAACTCACGCCCTTCGCTGGGGACGAACATAATTATTAACCAACATTTATATCAATACCTGCAGTTTCTTGTGTCTTGCCCAACTTAAGGATCTTCAGAAAACAAACATAGGTATCTTTGTTACTCACTCTCCGGGCAGTTTTTGTGACTCTCCTCCTTCCCATTGGGTCTTTTAATCTGACCAAATGGTTTCTGGGCCGCCCTGTTCAGGCTGATATTTCTGATTCAAGAATAAGTTTGGCTATTTTGAATATATAACTCAGTTTTAAAAGAAGAGTTATTGGGGGGGTATTTAAAAAAAAAAAAGATAACTTATTTATTTCCAGTCTTGTCTCATTATAAAAATCATTGATGGCGTCTATAGTCATAGGGATTCAGATAAGGACATTTTCTGCTCAAAATGGTAACCACCATAGCATTTTGATCACAGCTTGGTAGTAAACACAAGTAACGTTAACATTTTTAATAGTATATTTTGAAAATCAAACAAATTATAATATCGTATATGAAATGAAGGACTGCCAAAATGTTTATACAACGGTTATAATTTCACGAATAATATTTAGAGGTATACGTAAATAACTCATTTCTATGAGTGCGTTGCGCAGCAGAGTAATGAAAGGTGACTGACTGCGCGAAGCCTGGCATCATTAATTCCTTTATTTTATACTAGCGCTAATTATTATAAAGCGAGAATTTCGTGGCTCTCATCTCCAGATTTTTTAATGTGATGTTTCGATTAAACCGAAAGTACTACTTCAGTGAAGTGATGGTTATCAATTCCCTCTCTTCTCCGTATTTAACATACCCAGGCACGGTAAACAGAAAGGTGTTCTCAAAAACCAACAACTTTATGAACGTTTAATTTATATTTTCGTACAGGTAACGTAGAAAAAATTATTTTAAAGAAATTAAGATTTTAATCCGCCATTAATTTATTTCTATTCAACCTCCTTTGTTTTATTTATATATATATATATATATATATATATATATATAGAGAGAGAGAGAGAGAGAGAGAGGGGGGGGAACGTCTGGTTAGCAAGTTTATTACTTTAATTACTGTTTATAAACTACAAACTTCCTATGATTTCTCTCGAACGCTCATATCTGCTCGAAGCGTATCTTAACATAAACAAATGACGTCACACTATGAAATGAAGAAAGTCTGACAATTATCTTAATATATTTATTGTCTATACGTTATTTTTATTGATACGAATATTTAAGTAAATATTATGTTTATAATACACAGTATTAAAAAACATTTACCAGCCTGAATGTCCGAGAAATCTCAAAGAACCTGTATCCTACACGGAACCTTCATATAGCCTGACGTGCTATACCATTTAGCTACAGAGGAAACGTCTGGTCAGCAAGGCTAAAATACGGTTTCGATTCCTGTTGGAGGACATGTTTTCTTTGATATTTCTCAGATATAAGGGTCGGTAAATTTTGTTAATATTGTTTATTATTATTAAAAACAGCAATATATATCTAATGCGTACTACCCCACCCGACGTAAGTGGGGAGGAGCATGTCTGATTAGTGGCCCCGGGCAGCGCTTTGTGTTCCTCGCTATCTTATCAACATTTGATTTTTTTCACCTATATTTATATACGTTACGAATTAAACTAAGTACACCGACTATTAAATGAAAACAAATTCGAATTTTGACGTCATTCGAGGGTCTTTGTTTTTTTGTTGTCCAAATCAATGAATTTGTTTTGCTACTTTTCACAATTTTTCTTTTAACAACCATCAATTTTGAAGGTGTTAAAATTATCCAATTTTTTAAAGAAAAAATCTCATGTAAAAAAATTGACGCAAAACATTGAATTATTTAAGATGGAATGATCTATTATGACGTGTCTGTAATTTGTATTTAGATGCAGTTTATTTATTTTCCATTTTTCTAGTTGAATTGTTCACTTTATTGCATAGGATCCATTATTGTACATAATCAGGCTGCAATAAAATTT